GTTTCGTTGTCTTCTGCCCCCTCCCCTAGCCGCAGCTGCGCCAAATAATTGCTGTCTTCGGCAGTAATTTTGTAAACACTCAGTTTTCCTATTTGTATGCTTTTGTATTTCATTTTTGTTGAGTTACGCTCGTTGTTTTCTTTCCTACTGCAGTAGACGAAGTAATTTGTTGACATTTCCTAACCTAGCATTTATCCTCTGCGTCTCAAGGCATAGACCACCCTTACCGCTTGGACAGAGAGAGTTAATCAAGAATCAAATGCAGCAGTGGGAAAAGCACAAATGGTTGACTGTCTCCGCCCTTATGATCAGTGTGGACTGTGCCTTTATGCCACTTGAATTTCAAAGCTGGTCACTCTTCAGGTCGTCTTTTGAAATGATAGATGTTTGTAAATACTGTTGAAAATAATAAATTTGGTTTTCAGAACAGATGAAAAACAAAATCCTTCGATTAGAACGGTCCGAGCAGCACTCTCATCTAAGACCCCATTGGTCTCTACTGGTCTTGAACTACAAAAAGCGCTCATAAAACTAAACGAGCTGCCAACTAGTTTTTGGAAACCATTAAGCCTAGAGGAAATGCCTGAGCATCACATAACAAGCTGGAGCGACCAGCTGATATTCACCTAAGGAAACAAAAAGTTTGTGAGCAGTACTTGGCACTCTACGTCAAAAAAAAGAAAAAAGCGCGCAAGAAAAAGCAGAGCATAAAACTATCGAGAGACAAAACTAGAAGGCAGGTGTCCCGGGAAAGGGGTTATCGGAAATCGGAAATCCCGGTACTGAACTAGTTCGATTACTGCTGAGTATTGTTGATTGTACAGTCATGATGTTGAATTGGCAGATTACTTGGCAAATAAGCAGACCTAGCAAACAACATATACAGACTCCTAACATACTTCTTCGCTACGACGCTGGGACGCGTCAGGAGGCGGAGTTTGGGGCGGCGCCAGCTCGTCTTCCTCCAGTTGTAGGAATGAGCGAACGACAATAATTGGTGTAGAACGTGCTGGTGCTGCGCTAAACCCTGCCCCCTGACATGCCCCAGCATCCGCAGCGAATAAGAGTGAATTAGGCATGACTACGCCACAACAGTCACAGCCCTTCCAGAACTATCTGACACATCCCCTCCCTCAGCAGTAGGCATGATGACTGGGGTGGGCGGTTACTGCCAACGTCATTGATGGGGAGGCTGCGAGAGGGCGCTTGGCCGCACCCTCACTCAACTCTTTCACCAATGACGATGGCAGTAACTGCCCATCCCCAGACATTGTGTCCACTGCTTTCAAAGTAGAGGGGGAGAAGCGGACGGAAGGGCAGGGCAGACCAGGGGAGGCGAGGCGAGGGAGGGGAGGGGAGGGCAGGGGTGACGTTTGCACTTCCGCTAGTTTCTTTTGATGCAACATGTTAACTACCGGGTATCGTCAAAGGAAATACTTCAGACCCTTGTGGAGATGCGAAATGGAGCATATGCGACACTCCCGTCACAGGAGTTTACGGGTCCTAAAAATGTGGCTTGCATAAGCTTCCTGGGTACCATTCAGTGCCCCTACCAATGCGATCCGCGCCACATAGGGCTCTGTTGCATGCGACCTTTCTCTTACATGAAGCACAACAATACGATCCATATTTCAGCAAATCCACAACCTTAACTTGGGATTTCACGCCGAGTGGGCCATTCCTTAGGCGGAGAAAAACAAAAATCTGCAATTTCTCTGAAGAAATATTAACCTTTTTATACTAATTCTGACCCCTCTCTGCTAATCATTTACATACAGTCCAACTCCCGGCGACAAATAGTGATCCGATGACTGGGTAACCATAACAGATTCGAACTGAGATGGCACGAATACAAAAGAAAAATCCCGTTTCATCCCTCACATATAAAGAAACGAAACGTCCGTTCTTGCAATCCATTCTACAGCTCTGCTCCGTATTGCCTATAAGAAAGTTTCACGGGCATCATGAGAAGAGGGTCGAGCCATTTTTGCCTGAGGACACATCGTTGTTGGGGATCCTCAACAGGGGGGGGGGTCGTACTTGGGCTGAGAAAAATTTATTTTGGTAGTTGATTTTTCTCGCTTCATGGACGTTGTAAAGGGGGG